ACATTGTATTTATATGCCCCATGTTTTTTTTTTACTGTGACGCTTTGTTATTTATAAACGCCCTTTAAAATTTAAATAATTTCGTACTATGTGTAATACTGACATTTATAGTAACATATACGTGGCTATTTAGGCTATTAGGAGCTGTAGAAAAGCGGTGAAATAGAGAAAAAAATTTAAGGTCTTTTTACGCTAATCAAGAGAAATGCGAGTGGTAAAACAAACAGTGAGACAGTGGTGGTGTTCTATCTTCCAACAACTGTTATTTATCTATTGCTTTCCAATGATTGATAACTATCCATTTTATTTTATTTTGAGAAACTAGTGAAAATTTCAAAAGACTGATTAGTAATGAATGAGGAGGAATATTCCTGCTTAAAACAACCGGAGCTCTGCGTGGTAAAGAGACACGTCCAGCGCTACTATTGTCACCCTGGTCTACTGTCGAACCTAAAAATTCATAAATTCTGTGTTTTACTTCCCTTAATTTCTCTGATATTCACTGGATTTAGAGTCATACTGATATATATTATCTCTGCTGATATTAAATGGTTGGAGGCAATCAGCAGGAAGCCTTGCACCTAGATTTTGTGCCTCTTGGCACTCACCAGTCAGCAAGGCGTATCTACAACCTTGAGGGATCTCATATCCCTTCTGAGATTCAAACTCGCGTCACCTAGTAAGTGCTGCAGTCAAACACGTCACCACCAAGCTATTCGAACTCGCGGCACTTAGTTAGGAACCAGTGTAATATGACTAGTCCCTTGCTTAGGGCAGAATGAATTCTAGTAACTAACTAGTTTTCAATCAAAGCATGTAATACAGTCCTACAGGAGGTTGGTCGCGGATAGACCATTGGTAGCATCCTCCTGACTGTGCGGCGGTGGCACAGTGGTTAGGACTCTCGCCGACCACGCACATGGTCCGGGGTTCGATCCCCTGCCGGCGCACATCCGATATCTATGGTCGGCCTGTGATATTTGGGCTACCGATATCCATGCTGAAAATTCCATACTTGTACTGAAAATACGGTGTGGAATCAAGCTGTAAATCAAAATAAAATAAAAAAAATAAAATACTCACTGAGTGACATGCGTCCAACTCTCAGAAGGGACATGAGTTCCTTCAAGTTGGTTGCACATACGTCTTGCTGATTGGTGAGTGCCGATTGCCTCCAGCCATCTAATATCAACAATTTATAAGTGCACCGTGATGGCGAGCCACCTAGAATGGTGGCCAAATCGCAAAGTTTGACTGATGAAATTCAGTCCGTACCAAACAAAGGATTAGATACACATATCACATTAGTTACTGACTAGTGTCCTATCAAAGTACATATTTCCTTTTACTGATGCTTTTCAAATATAATCTGTCGATACTATTGATTTAACGTAATGTAAAGCATTAATGTGCTAAAAAAACACTAATTCTTTAATAATTACGGACATAGAACAGTAGAACCTGATGATGAAGTTACCGAAAAGAATATTGTATAGAGGATTTCATCATGAGCTGACATCAGTTAGAGAACCACTGGAAAACCTGGGAGTATTGGACAGATGTTTCGTCCTAGTTTGTGACTCTTCACGAGTACCAAACAGCTGTGAAGTACTCCCAGCTTTTCCAGTGGTTCTCTAACTGATGTCAGCTCATGATGAAATCCTCCATGCAATCAAGCAAAATTCTTACAAAACCAATACTCGAAAAGAATATTCCTTCTTTATACTAATCAGTCTTTTTAAATTTATAGGATGCGAAACATTAATCAATTAAGATACCGGAAATATTCATTAAGTCAGGATAACAATGAGAACTTCAGTCCTACTAATATTCATCATCAACTAACCGGACAGAAGAAATGCCACCACCTTAAAATATCATCCAATTTAAGTAACCCCAACCAGCCGTATTCTGAACTTTACACAGATGATGTTGCACAAATCGCAGCATTTCGATAGACAAACACCGACTTTGTTTACCTCTATTCCATTCCACACAGTTGCTAAGCTGTTCTTCGCGCCTACAACATACTCGCGACCATCAATCATCGTATATATAGGTAGAATACAATTGGAACACGCACACCTAAAATCCTACAACACGATATTATATGAATATAAGCCAATCTATGATTTGCCCAGTTTATTCACACATTAATGCATGAGGAGCGATGAATGCAGGATAGGCAGAGAGAGAGAGAGGGAGAGGTGAGACTGAATACAGTTCGCTAAATAAATTAATATCTAACGCAGCAATAAAAAAGAAGAATAATGCCTGAAAGGAATTACTAATCGACTAACTACCGGCCCACATAAAGATTAACATCAACAATGAACAATAATAATAATAAATAATAATGGTAGAATACGAAAGTATAGTATCTCCTCTATTACATGAATGGTGCAGATACACTCACACACTCACACATGGAGACTACTACTAGAAAAATGACTAATCATCAAGTTTTATAGTTTTTATGAAAGGCCAAAGAAAGAAAAAAAATATTATTTCACTCATCAATTACAAAAATAAATTAAAATGGTATCAGCCCATGGAATCGAATAATCATTAACATTGCATGTGTAAAATATACATTTATATATAATAGAATAATAATGATTATTCTACCTGACAGGCTACTGATTGTATATGTATATATACCCTTTAGTAAATGATATTACAACTACAACTTTTAGTATTCTACACACAGGATGCCTACTTCTACTGCTTTTGAAATCTGTCGATTAGAAAATAAATTAGAAAAGGGGGCGTTGGAATCCATACTCGACACACGAGGATAGCCTTTCCACATGCTTTCACACACACGCACACACCATATGTACACATTCTCTCAGATCGAAATCTAGAGATTAACGAATTTGGACAATGTGCGCAGTTTTATAGCAGAAAAACAGCTTAAAATCCGCAACAACAAAAAAATGTGCAGCTGTATGCAGTTTATACAGGTAGAATATTTTAATATCATACTAATTACAAATTAAATGGTGAATCAATCAGGAGAAGAATGCTCGACGAGAATGTATGTATCAAACACAGCGGTCTGATTCTCAGTCAACTCATTATTAAACCACAAATAGCCAGTAGAAGTGAAACCGAAAAGGAGGCAAGGTTGAGGGCTTTGAAGTGAACAACCTCACCTCGCGTGGAAACTATACAACACTGCAACTGAAAATCCAAAGCTTAAAGCCTGAATTCTTATGTTTTCACTCGGAATGCAAAGAAATGAAGAAACAAATAAAGGGTGACAGCTGAAAGAAGAATATACAATATGATACATCCCTGAAAGAATCTAATAAGCTATAATTTTAATCGAGTGAAAAGGAGGAAATGAAAGGTTATGGACGATCACGGAACAAGCCAGAAAGAAAAGACTGCAGAGAATCGAGTGAAATGCAGATGTGTTTGTGAAGCGCTCTACTCCATTCGGAAACCAAGGGAACAATAATCAGTTCAAGCAGCAAAACCGCATTTGCATAGATCAATTGTATAATAAAAGGATAGAACAGAGAGAAAAATAAAACACAAAAAATATGCACAAAACTCATACATCTCTCTATAAAACTGTAGGCTGAATAACACTGACACTAAGAGTAGCGATTGGTATTTCGTTTACGTCTTATGAAGAGCAACTCGAAATTCATTAGAGGTAGTTTTCTGTAGAAAAATATCTCAATTACACTAAAAGAAGTGATTTTGTGACTTCATCAAGTGAAAATCAATCCGCACTTCAGCTGTTCAAGCATTGCTTCACTTAAAACGTTACCAAAACTATATCACATCACACAAGTATATATATTTATGTATATAGGTAATAATATATGCCAAGATATATACGTGCTCCTAAACTAGATGTGGTTATTTTAAACTTAGAGTAAAAGGTAACGGTGTGAAACTGGATTATGCAGGTTTTCTGTTTGAATTCATACAATAAAAATAAATAAATATTAAGCAACAACAAAATGGGCAATAAAGAGGAAGTTTCAGATAAAACGATGAATAACCCTACAGGGACAACAGAAGGCTAATTAATAAGTGAGTGACACCTACTTATCCCTTGTAGACGATCTGAAAAAAGTCATGCTAAATATTTCACTGTCAAATTATTAAGAAAACAAAGAAAGGGAAAAGGCTGATGAAGAATTCAACAATAGAGAATTCTCTCCATGAGCCTTGAAGACTCTCGGTTCGATTAGGGATGCTTCCAACTTTACAAAAAGTAACACTGAAGACTCTGTCAACAGAAATATTTGCTTCAAGAGAGAAAGACAACAAAATCATTCATGATTAACTGACTGACAGATTTAGTTTCAATACAGAACTCTGTACAGAAGTGCACCTGTTCAACTTTCAAAACTCTATGTAGAAAGAATAGTGACATGCAGAAACACGATGACGTAATTACAGATATGGGAGATCCCAAAGAGTGAATGTATCTGCGCTCCACTGACAATAATTGTGAGCCATATTACCAACAGTCTGCAGCTATTGGTTCTTACCATCTCTACGTGGTGGTAATCAAATTCCACATGGACTGATGACAGGTTTCGGTTAGACCTATCCTAACTCTTTTCCAAATTGATCCTATATAGGCTAACATAGCTCATCGAAGAAGGCTATCGCTAGGAATGAGCAAGGCATGTTCTAACCATCTTAATCGATGTAGGTCCACAAACTCATCGACTCACTTACTCTCCTTATCTAAGACTATAAACTCAATACTATTCATCACATTATCCCACTTAACACGGAAGGTAAAACACACAAACATCTGTGGTCTAAGACAGCCTAACCCTTTCAACATATCTTTCACTTTCAGCAACCATGTTTCACAGCCATACAGAGGGACAGAGTGAACTGCTTAGCAGTACTCATGCCCCTGGGGATATAACGTTTAAGCATTAAACATGCCAGCAGTAACAGAAGCAAAACATAATTGAAAAACGACAGAGAAAGAAAGAAAGACAGAAAATGTTACTTACTCATATCTTTCTTTATACTTCTTGTCACCATCATCAACATCCTCATCATCACCATCATTAATGATAATGGCATCAGTCGTAGAAGTAGTAGTAGCAGCAGCTACAAGTGGAACACGTGAGATTTGTGACGAATAACCCCCACCACCCCCACCGCCGCCATTTGACAAATCACTTAATGGTGTTACCACATTTTCACAACTTGGTGCAATCATACGAAATAAATGATTAGATTGTTCAATTAGAAAACTCATGATATGATTAATTGAATTCTGTTCACGATAGCCCTTTTAAGAAACACAGGGAGAAAGAAAGGATAGAGAGTTGATCATAACAGAATATTAAGAAATAGTAGAACTAAACACCAAAAAGTAATATTATATCATATTAGTAACACGTATAACAGAAAATGAATTCGGTAGAATAGTCAATCGGTCTCTATATACACTAACATTATAAACTTCCTTACAGTTAATCTAGAACAAAAAGCACCACTGTTAAATCTTTCCTTTTCAGAACAAAACTGAAGATATGTATATATTTCATTTCATTTGTTCATACTACGTCGAAATCTATTAGTTGAAACAATGATAACCTAACCTCAATGTAGATGCCGTCATTAACTAACATCAGTTAGAGAGATCATTGAAAACCAGGGGTGACACTGTGAACAGCCACTTTGTTCTAGTCTGGGACTCTTCCACAGTGAGCACTCGTAAAAATCTACCAAGGATGGAGCTCAGGACTTTCAGACTAAGGACCCAGAATCGCTGCTTCTCAACAATCTCTAACTAACTGATATTGGTTCGTGACGAAACCCACACTGGCATTACTCCAAATCCCTAAAAAAAATTCACAATCTGGATAACCTAACTGACAAATCATCCAAGCGTAAAGTTATCGTTATAAAAATGAACAGTGTTCACACGCAGCTCATCTGATACAATGCCATGAGATGCAGGTAACATGAGAGTAAAGAAACAAAAATAATACCTGAAATTAACCCAGGAAGCTTTTTTGGGTATATTTCCGATCTAAACTATTAAAGAAAATGTATGCTGTTTGTTTGCGAATCCAAGTCGGACGACTGCCGGTGAGACGGTTTATAATACACTATGATGTATTCAGTAATTATCACCTATTGAACCTTAAGGTATTCTCAGTGATCTTCATTAAATTATTCTTTTAGTACCAGTTGACAGTGTAATCAGGGAATGTTGTTTTGTGTTGTGGCAATTTTCAAATAAAACATATTTTGTGACAGTTTCGATGTTCACCTGTCTATATATGACGCAGTATTAGGATAAAACACGGCATCGCCCCATGCTTCTACAAACTACTACAGACTACCTAAAAAACCTCTAAGAATTCGTACACAGTTTACAAGGAAACCATTGGAAAACTTCAAAGTAAGAAAGTACAATCAGTGGGAAATGTGCTCAGACTGATCCAATTTCAAATCTCCTTTTTTTCCTTTTATACACCACGGGAAAGATAGACGCAGAAGCCTCGTACATGTTTTATTTTCCCTAATCCTCAGAGGTCCGAGTGGAACATAGGGTGGCTTTAAACTTTCAGTAAAGATAGTTCTGTCTCGAAGAAGAGAAGATGCCAGTTCTCACGCCCGAAAATTCCCGTTTATCCGGACTTACTACAATAGGAGTGGTCAAGTAGGTTGTCAGACAGTTAGGACTCGTACACGGTGGAACATTTAACTATCAATGGATATATTGTTGATGCCTGTTGATCTATTTAATTACCCTTGCTTTATGGTTTGTCACCTGTTGAGTAAGAGCAATACAGTTTTTTTGTGGGGACTAATTACTTGGCCACACTATCAACTAGTATCAGTTTAGCCTAAATCGTATCGATCAAATAATCAGGCAATGTACAAGAAGCATATAACCAACAGAAACACCCATAATGTTACGTAATCCTACACTAGCTATTAATATTATTTGTAGTAAAAACTAACGAACAATGCATGGTGCATCTTTTAACTACCCTCAAAACTATATGGTCAGAAAACCATTTTACTCAAAAACTACAAATTATAGAATAGCTCTGTTATAAAAAAAAACACTACAAAATATTTCAAATCTGATTTTCTGAATGTTTTCTTTTCTGCTTTCACTGAAATCTCAAACAATCATAATAATAATGTGGTGAGAGCTGTCTGCTAGACAAAATTGTTAGACAGCAATTTGCGTCAATGTTTACGTCACAAATCTTGGTCATGAGAAAAAACAAACACGAACAAAGACTAACTCAATAACAAATGTATCAGCAGACTTTGCGTGGGCGGATACGTTCCGCAGACATATGATCTGACCATCAAAGAAACGGCAACAAAGAAATGACAGAATAACCTTCAGCAGGAAAACAACCAATCAGAAGACGCTGTTTCTCTGCTAATAATAATGAATAATAATGTATATAAAAATCTATGAATATCTCTTGATTTTCTCAATAAATGAACGATCTGTTGCCTGGCCCCTGTTACAAAAACAGTAATAATAGTGGGTTTACTCCAAACAATATTTTTTTACATGCAATGTAGAATTCTTCGCATATATAGTACAATTATGCAATACACAGTAAGAGGGAGAATAATTACAGAACTTTATAAACCTTACAATAAATAGTAATAACAGTAACAATAATGATAGTAATAATAGTAATAATAATATGTTAATGTAAACATAAATTACAAATTAATAACAATAATGACAACAATACATCACTGGTACAAAGGAGAAAAAGAGCCGCCAATTTACTATTACAAATTAAAAGTTAGCTATTCTGCACCTAAAACCTTTTTCGTCAAAAAAATTCCATGCCAAATAAGGTATCCTTGACGTTTTTCTAGACGACAAGATAGATTACAGGAAAGAATTAAACTAAAATTCAAGTATTGATTTTTAGGGATTAGGTTGATTGGTTACAGGATTTCATCATGAGCTGACATTGGTTAGAGAACCATTGGAAAACCTGGGAGTAGTGGGAAGTCGTGACCAGTATGGTGTGAGGACAAATACTCACCAAAGACATTGGCTAGCGGTTGCGCTATATCGTGAATTGGCAGAAGTCAGAATTCATGGGCCGTTGGATTGCGTCCCAGTGGCTTAATGGTCTACGCACTCGCCAGCTTTGTAACCAGAAGGTCCTGGGTTCAAACCCCACATTGTGGATGCGTACTGACGAAGAGTCCCAAATTAGGACGAAGCAGCTGCACAGTACTCCCAGGTTTTCCAATGGTTCTCTAACCTATGTCAGCTCATAATGAAATCCTTTAACCAATACACCAAAATTATTTGACAATTCGACTCAGTTTCTACTTCAGTGTCCCCCCACCATGTCACAAGAGTCATGAGGAAGAACCGGTAGATGTAAATCACATTTATATCTTCAAAATGAAATTTGACAGTTTCACATGCACAGAAGTCTTCAGCTGAAGGCTTCTAATAAACCGTCATTCATTTTGAAATAATCTGATCAAGAAGTAACAGCCACGGGGAAATTGGGCTCACTAGCGTACTTATCCATAATCATTTCAATCAGAACGAGACAAGTCATACGAGATGTAAGAGAGAAAAAGGGGAAGAACAACACCTTTTACTATTAGTGTTTTTACAATTTAGTTTCGAGATTCTTAGGATAGACTTTATTTACTTCATATTATATTTTTTCAAGTGTTAGTTGGTTTGCGGGGATTTTCTTGGTTTCAAGTTCAATCACGTACTAAATTCAGTCGTCAGAGAAGCTTTAAAAATTAGGAAGTCCTGGACAGCTGTTTACTACTAGACTGACAGCCTTCAGTGGTGCAGTAGAGCTTTATGGCGAACTGATAGAACTGAGAATTCATGGAGCATAAGACTCCCCCTTAATGGACTGAATGCTCAGCGAGCTCACCTTGCAGCCTGTAAGTCCTTGACGCGTACTGGTGAAGAGTCACAAATAGGGAAGAAACAGCTATCCAGTATTTCCTGTTTTCCAATCATTCACTAAAGGATATCAGTCCAGGGTAAAACTGTACACCGATCAAATCTTTACAAAATAACCCCCTAAAAATTAATCCGATGCTCACTAGTAACTGACTACAGTTTAAAGTTGACTAGTATTTTAGTGAGCAGTCGACACTAGTGGGGTCGACCAGGTCGAGTGTGAGGACAAATATTTGCCCATGACATTGGGTGATGGCACTGTAGAAGTTAAAATTGATTTGATTTGAACCTATCAAATCCAAAGCCCCCAAGGAAAGCACAAAGAAAGTCGCCCTATCATATATAAAGGATATACCAGAAATTACTGCAAGACTCTTCAAACCTTTGGGAACTGACGTCCCACACAAACCAACAAAATCAATTCAATCAGTTCTACGTCAACCAAAAAAGACTCAACAGCGAAAGAAGATAAAACCAATATCAACTACAAGATAAATTGTAACAACTGCGAAAAACACTACATTCGCCAGAGTGGACGTCCCCTTCATCTTCGTATCCAAGAACATACGCTACCGTCAAAAGATATGACATCCACTCCCTCATATCACCCGCTGCATACAGACAACCACGGACAACAATTCGACTGGGACAATGTTCAAATATTAGACAGAGGAAACAACAAGAATGCTAGAGAATTTTTAGAAGCCTGGTATTCCAGTGAATCATCAATCAATAGACACATCGAGATACACAAGATTTACCAACCTATAAGAAAGAAACCTCACACACAAAGAGTCAAAGTTCAAGTCAAAGAAACAATCAGTTCCAATACAAGTAGCCTAGAAGGTGTGAAAACACACAAAAGAAACCAGTCACGTCCAAGGTCACCAGGAGAGATGATTAATAAACTAGTAGAGAAATCTAAAAGCTCACTTCAAATTGAAGCATGCGCTGAAGATGTCACCTAGTAGGATGATGAAAGCTTCGCAAATTAACTATCCAGCTCAGAGAACACAACCACATCAAAATCATCCACCGGAGCCACAAATCTCTATCATATCGAATACCAATAGCAGAGATTTAATTAAAAATTACCAAAATGATGAAAAATGAAACGAATACGAGAATCGGAAGACATACACACAAACAAGCACCAACAGTTATCAGGTTGCACACACATACACACACAAAAACCTATAAATGTAGATAAACAAAATCAATCATTCAAAAACAATATCCTAATTTTTTTTAAATTGAGGTAATTTCTTTATGTTGGTAAAGTGAAACAAAGAATAAATGAATCACACACACACACACATCCACATATCAATGCACAGAGAAGC